TCGGTGCCAATTATCCCTCCAAACCCAACTTTTTCAAACAACGATCACCATCACCTCATTCGTGTTTTGTCTCAAACACAACCAAAAGCAGCTATTGCAAACCGGGGTTACATTGCAAAGGTTCAAGAATACTTAAACCTTTCCCTTTCCGAAAATCCCTTTTCTAAACTACTACACAATTTGTTGTGGATATCGGTGGAAAATCTTATGGAGATAAATGTAAGCTCGTACCGTAGCTTACATTTATCGTATCCTGGTTGCAAGGTAGACGAGGTGTACTTGGTCCAGTACACCTCTGGTGCAACCGGGATACCCAAGCCTGTCTTGGTGACAGCTGGAGCAGCTGCTCATAACGTCAGATTGGCGAGAAAATCGTACGACCTTCATCCAAATAGCGTGATAACGTCGTGGCTACCACAATACCATGATTGTGGGCTTATGTTTCTCTTGTTAACAATCGTTTCAGGAGCGACTTGTGTGTTAACTTCGCCTAACGCGTTCATTACACGACCTAGGCTTTGGCTTGAGTTGATAACCAAGTTCAAGGCGACTTGCACTCCGGTGCCCTCGTTTACCTTGCCATTAGTCATCAAAAGAGGTCATGTTTTTGATAAAAGACTCCTTCCTGTTAACCTAAGCACGATGAAAAACTTGATAATCATCAATGAACCAATATACCAAAAACCAGTTGAACAATTTGTGGAAAATGTTGAGCCCATTTGGTCTAAAGGCTTCCTCGATTTGTCCATCCTATGGGCTAGCTGAGAATTGCACTTTTGTCTCAACATCATGGAGATCAAGAGTGCAAGAAATCGATTTCCCTACACATAAAGAAGCTATTACCAAGTGCTTGCCTCAAGTACGATGAAGAAGAGGAAGATGAAGATCAAATGAATATTGTAATCGTGAATGAGGAAACAAATGAGCTTCTGGAAGATGGTGTCGAAGGTGAGATATGGATTGCTTCTTCTGCAAGCAATGCATTGGGCTATTTGAGTCATCCGTTTTTAACTCAAGAAGTTTTTCAGAGTAGGTTGAAAGGAAGATTCAGCCATGAACGTTTCATTAGAACAGGTGATAGAGGAATCATTAAAGGCGATGAAAGATTCCTGTATGTGACAGGTCGTTGCTCGGATATCATCAAACATGGAAACATGGTGGAAACTCACGCTCATTATCTGGAGACTGCAGCGTTCGAATCTTGTGTGAGGTTTCTACGTGGAGGGTGTATTGCAGCCTTTGATGTTCATGGGGATACAACTGCCATTGTTGCAGAGATGCAGAAGAGTGGTGAGGAAAACGAAGGTATGTTTAGAGGAATATGTGAAGGAATAAGAGGGTTTGTTATGAAGGAAGAGGGTATTCATGTAGGGGTTGTTGCCCTAGTGAAGAGTGGAAGTATTCCAAAAACGACGTCGGGAAAGATACAACGATGGCTTGCTAAAGAAAGATTATTGAGTGGAAAAACGGAAGTGCTGATGGAGATGAAGTTTAGTAAAGAAGAGGATGAAGAATTCAAGAAATCTTTCCTGAAAAATCTTATGATTGATAAGAGGGAAAGTAAAAAGGTTGTATTATACAGTAATTTATGAAAATGTTAAAGGGTAAGCTTGTTACGACTTATGATAATATGATAATATAAAAACCATGGTATATCCCTCGTATGCCATTAATTAAATATCGCATATGAATATTTCAGTATTCGTAAATAAAAGTTACATATTTAAGAAATGAGATGCTAGCTAGTCTGTCATAACGGTTTTTGGCATCATCGAACTGATGTCACGTATGAAATGTTGTCGAAGAACATGAATTAAATAAAGAATTTGTTCGTCAAAACTTATGATATAATTAATTCTACTTTCAGCTTGCATCCAATTATAAGAATAATTCTCCTTTCAGCTTAATTTCATCCAATTAAAAGATACATTAAAAAGCTTAGTGTAACATTATAATAACATATCCCGTGGTATTAAAATATAATCCAAATTACACGTTTCGTGGTTTTCACACTGTAAAATTTGTTTTTTATGAATTGTACGTTTCTATACTGTTCCAAGAGGCTTAGGGAAAGAAACCACTATTTTTTTTTTTTCTTTTCTGACGAAGATTTTAATAGACATTAAACTTCATTGAACACCAGTGTGTCATACAATTATAATTGAGTTAATCCATTAGGAGCAATTAGAAATTTCATATCATTTGGGCATTATGGATACTCGAACATTCATGGTTGGTGAAATGAAGTAGACTTATGGTGGTTATTTCAGATGTATGATTTAATGGTGGATGTATATTAATTTGTTAAGTTATTGTATTGTTTCTTACTTTCTTTTTTTATTAATCGACATGACTTAATTAAGAAAGAAACAACTTAATAGAGAAAGTCAAGAGAAGGAGGTTTTTTCCCATAAAGTCCCAACTTTTTCAAAGCTCATTTAATTTTGGCTAAATGCAAGAAGAAATAGCAATGTACTTATTAAAACAATGCAATTGCAAAGTATAACCGATTGGAGCATTGTACTTTCCAATTATAACAGTGAAAATTGTTTTGTATTTGGATGATATTGCTATAATAATAACATTCCCATAGTACAATAATACTATAATAAAAAAGAATTTGATGTACAATGCTAAAATTAGATAGATTATCCATAGAACAATGCCCCACAAATAAAAAAAATTAAGTTACAATGATGTAATAGAAAAAATTAGAAGTAGGATGTATAACACAAAAAAAATAGACTTTATAGATCTCTATTAACATTAACATCGTACCTAATCTTTTCCTATCATTGTTTTTTGAAAAATATACCCAATTATAGCAATGTTCCCTTTCTCACTGCTATAATTGAGTGGATTTGTCAAAGTCAATTGCCTTTATAAGAGAAAGATTCAAAGTCGAGGGCTATAATTGGGTAGCTTTCTAAGAACAATGAAAGTACAATATTGTAGCAGAAATAAATGAACATACGATGCTATAATTGAAAATAGATGTTATTTCTTGCATTTACATATTCAAACAAATTTGAAAGATACAAACCTTCAAACATATTGTAATAAAAACCCATCTAAATAATTTATATCTACCAAGAAAAAGTAGTGTACTAGAAAATTTGCATAAATAAACCTTTCTTTCAGACACCATCGTCGCTAATAGCAACCTCTTTCAACCATACGACATAAATAAATGCACTTAACTCAACAACGATTAAAATTTTATTCTTTCATTGTGTTAAAATTTTATGTAGAATAACACATACCAAATAACAAAATAAGTACATAGAGAACTCTTATAGAATGCCAAAGTGTCGCACTGAATTTAGCAGATACGACCAAATGCCCCAGTTTAAACACATAATGCTCGAAAATCAACTTAAAGTATCTAGATCAAACAGATGAGCAATCAATTCTTCTAACTATACAATTTTCCCTAGTTTCAATCTAGATTCAGTAATCAGAAGTGTTAAACTGTATGTTTAAGAATAAATTGCGAGAGAAAGTGAAAGATTACTCAGGTAAAGAGAAAACTTTTGTTTGAACCTTACTGTTTCGGAAAGTAACCTTCGCACACAATCATGAGTATTAGCAGTAGCAGTGTTGACTCAGCGAGTCTCTCGCTCCATCTCTCTTTGTATTTTCCTTCACTTTGGTTTTCGCCGAATTGAGTGCAGGTTTACGCATATTTATATTTAGGATACAGTACATCATGATATTTGTTATGCAAAAAGATAGATAAATTATATAAATTATTATCGTAATTATTTTTATTAGTATTCTATATTTTTACGTGCAAAAAATAAATAACCACATATATTATTTATTTAAAAATAGAAACTAAGAACTTTATTAAAATAACTATGACTTTTCGTGTATATGGTCATCTGCGAAAATTTAACATGACCTATGCAAATTGTTTTAGTATATAAGTGGGAAATTTTAAAACTTATTAATATTTGTGGGAGATTTTCATAGATAACCATCTGAAAGAAAATGGTTTTGTATGATGTTATCTCTGAAAATATGTTTTTCCTTAATGCCTGTATACCTAAAAGTGTTATCTTGGTTTAGTTCATATTCCGTGCAAAAACAAAAATAAATAAATAAAATAAAATAAGAAATTCCCTCACATGTCATTTGTTAAAAAGTGATGATATATGCGAAAATATGAAAAAAAAAATTGTATTTTTTAACAAAAGTCTTTAATCACTACTAGAAAATTAGTGCAATACCTACAACACAATCCGTAGCTATAAACGGATAGCTACGGAATTGCTACGGAAAATTGGTTGTAGCATAATGGCCCGTAGTTAAATTATATCCACAGATTAGCTACAGAATAGCTACGAAATTTTCCGTAGCTACTATAGCTACGGAATAGCTATAGAAATAAATAACTACAGATTTCCTGTGGAATAGTTATAGAATTAGATAGCTACTGAATAACTACGGAACTAAATAGCAACGGAATAGCTACGAAATAGCTACGGAAATCCGTAGCTATTCCGTAGCTAACTTCGTTTTATTTAAAAAAAATTAATGTAAAATTTTCCAATTTTTTGTTAAATACCACATTCAATTCACATTTGTCCCAAATATCATATAAAATACACCAAAAACCTCCCTAATACCAAGTTTGACACATTCCAATCCATTATCCAAAATATCTTACAAAAGTAAGCACTACTTAACAAAACAAACAATATCAAATGTTTACAAATTCAATTGTTCCAAAATACATATCAATTGTCCTTAGGTGGATTATCGGGGGAGCACAGGGTTGATTTCCAGACATATTCATCATCCTCATAACCATTTCCATTTGTTCTTTCATTTGTTGTTATTGTTGTTCCATGGTAGAAACTTGTACATTTAACCTATCAACCTAAAAAAATGGCAACACAATGCAATAGTTAAACAATATTAGCAATGTATTTTAGTTTATTATAACAATGCATTGTTGTTTATAATACTTATAGCAATATACTTACCTTTTAACAATAATAACAACGCACTTATGTTTATTATCAATTTAATCAATATTATCAACAAACTACCTAACTTTTAACCATAATAGCAACATACTTTTGTTTATTATCAATTTAATTAATATTATCAACAAACTACCTAACTCTTAACCATAATAGCAACGTACTTTTGTTTATTATCAATTTAATTAATATTATCAACAAACTACCTAACGTTTAACCATAATAGCAATGCACTTTTGTTTATTATCAACTTAATCAATATTATCAACATACTATTTAACGTTTAAACCATAACAACATACCTCTTGTTGTGTACTATCCGATTGGGTGGATTGGGAAGACGGTGTCTCAGTAATCAAAAAATGTATATCTGATGCTTCTATGCCATAGATATCACCCTTCTTCTTTCCTTTTCTCCTAAGTTGAATTTCCACCCATACCCTCGCATCATCTTTATGGTTTGAAGAGTCTTCTCCGTGTTTTTTTGACCATCTCCTGTAGATACGCCTCCCACAAATTACCAAAACAGTATCATTGTCATGTACAAAAATACTAAGACAATCAATATACATAAATGATAAAAGATAAGTTACTTGTGCTTCTTTGGTATTTAGTGAGCAATATTCGAGATTTTCATGATCTCCCGCAAAATATCTTTTTTTCGCCTCAGTTGTGCCATGCGTCTTCATGAAAACATCAAATTATGTGGGTGGTTTACCCATCATCTTTTCCTACATAAAATACAAAGTATAGTTGATGTAGTTAGTGTTAAAAAAATAAGATAATAAAATTTATAATTATGATATTTTCTAAGTTGTTACGGTGCTCGTCAAATCCTATACTACCTGCGGTGTGCCTAGCTGTCCACCCATTGGCATCTGCGACTTTACGATTCTGGTGAGCAATTTTTGAATTCTTTCTCCACTTATCTATCAACCAATGCTGTGAAAAGAAAAAAAAAATGTAAGGATACTAATACAATAGGAAATTAAAATTCAACAAAATAGAAAATAAAGTATCATATCCATTACATCACACAAACGTAGCCACACATTCTCTGGTACGCGCTCGGGGGTGGTAGTTATGCATCCCTTCGTAGTAGGTACAATGACCTAGGGGGACGGGTTTCCCATCATTTCGTGCCATTTTCCCATATTTAATCTTGATACGCTTCATCCGATCCTTGTATCTATCCTTGAGGACACACTTGAAGGAATCAAATATATTACTATTCTCTAGTGAATTCCACCTGTACATGGTCTGTAAAAAAATAAAAAGTAAATCTAAAAATACAAAGTAAAAACAAATGAGTATAAGATACCATAATTTATATTTAATATATTACCTTGAAACGCGAAAACATCTGCAAAAGAGCCTCATAGGGAATATCACTAAATCGGGGCCACGGATGGTCCATATTCTCCCAATAGAGACTAATACACATGTTGTGGATTCTCTTAGACCCAAACCTAAATTGAAAAGAACTATATAAGTAGAATTTTAACATCAAAAATTAAAGTTTTAAAATATGAAAACACTAACTTTTTCCCTTTTCAGCTGATGAGGGGCAACGAAGACTCCTGAAAATCACTCGCATTGAGTCATGATCGCCCCGTAACACCTCTAGAGGTGGAGCCATGCGGCGTCGGTGGCGTGTTTGGTGGTCATGGCGTGTGCGGGGTCTGTGGCGACCGAAAGGTTATCTGTGCATCTGCACCCTCAAAATAGTACTCCTCAAATCCATCACGACCACCCGGCCTCAAAACCGTTTGTGGGTTTAACAACTCAACACTTGTATTTGGAAACTGAGGCGTATAACCCATTTGTGGGGATTGGGGCCTATAAAACATCTGTTGGAGTTGGGGTCCTATAATCTGTCTATATGAGTTGGGACATATGACCCAGCCCTCGAGCCTGATGGCGAAGAATCCTAGCCAAGTCTGTTAAAGGATCAGCCATTTCGGTTTGTTCATTGATGGCACCGTGATTGTTGGAGCCTGCGACTCCTGTCACTATTGATATAGCAATCAGTATGAGTAATGTCCTAAAATGTGGCTCGTTGGTAGAATTAGGGGATAACCCTCCCCCCACCTAAGCCCCGCACTGCTAGAAGAAGTGTTGGTACTGTGGCCTTTATCCTTGCATCGATTACCTGACATGCTACATTTAATAGAACAAGAATGGTCAAATATATATAATATAAGATTGATAAGTCATAACAAAACAAATGTTTAAAACAATGTTTAAAACAATGGGATATCCAAATCAAAATCATTAACAAAACAGCGTTTAAACAGTACAAAAGTCTTCAAAATAACAATGCTTCTAACATTAACAAAATACAATGCTCCTAACATTCGTCCCCATCATCTCTGTCACACCCCAAAACCAAGAATGGCGGAAACGTTCTGGGGCGGAGGACGTCATGTAAAGTATCACAACACAGTAAATGTAAATAAGCAAACAATATCATCCATTGCATTAAATATAAAATTTTAATACAAGCGTGTTCCGTACAGTTTTAGACACCAAAAATATAATTTAAATAAAAATAGTATGATGAGTCTTGAATGCGCTCCATCTTCTCAAAAGCTAGCATCGGTACCTGACTACTGATGACCTGAGAATACAAGTTATTTTGAAAGAGTTTATCAGCATTAAGCTGGTGAATTAATAAATATTTTAGTGTCGAGGTTTGTTATCAAAACGTTTGAACCTGTTGCAAGTATGAGTTGTAAATGTATGTAAGTGTTTGTAAAAGTTTGAATCTCTCAGAAAAACCTATATTTTCTGTTAAAGTAGCCCTCTACCAAGGCTTAACTGTTTTGTATGCTCGTTTGATGTAAAAGTGTGTAATTTCCCAAGTGTAACTATCATTTAACAAAATATAGTTTGTACATTAAAGTTTAAGTGAGGTTATCACCAAAATGTAATGGGTAAATTATTGTAGTACGGTAGTTTTGTTTTATATGAACTACTGCTGTACTAACTACCTTAAACCGGGTTTATATTAAGGTATCATGTGATAAATTGCACCATACTATCGACTGGTAACATCGACAACGTATAGTCGAAAAATAAGGTATGACGTTTGGCACCCGCAGACCTGTCGGTCCCACTGTAGCTAGCAGCGAGGTGTAGGATAGTCAATCCAGTATAGATCTATACGCAAACTCACGCTCTCCCTCCAAGAGACTCTGGCTACAACTCGGGTCATGTCAATTAAGACATGCTCCCATACAGTGGATCACAATTGTTAACGTATTCGTGTATATGCAATATAATGTTACTTGTTCTAGTATCGTTGTATATGTTCTCTTAGTAATAAGTATTGACTCCTGAATGAACTGACTCGTTGATCTAGAAATTGTAGTAGTATGATCCCGTGTTACCCCGATGGTAACTTACTAACGATGTGCTGATAAGTATGAATATGGAAGTACTTTTATGTCAATACATGTATATATGATATATAACTAATATTGAAACGACCCTCGGATGGTCACCCGAAATTCCACCAGACCACATCCAAATCGAGGAAAAGGAAATAGGACAGGTGGCTTTCCTAAGCCCTTTAAACATTATTTATACACTATACATATATGGGCATGCAAATTTATAGGTAGTAAAACAAAGTTTACAATAAAGCATTTGATAAGTAAAAGAGTTTGTAAAACATTTTGAAGTAAAACAGTTTGAACAGTGATAAAATCATTGGTTTCCTAGTGATTAATCACATGTGATCGAAGCAATAACTATAAGTGTTTAACGTGTATTCCCCCCCCATAAAGTATTTAAAACATTTAAAAGCATTTCAAAGGTTGAATAAAGGGGTATGAACTCACTTGGAAGTTTGAAGATAGCGAGATCGAAAACCGGGCAGAGTTTCGTCTCGGGAAACGGATTTTTCTCGGGATTCTCGGGAATCTCGGGAGTAAAATCGACCCTCGGGACTTGAGCAAAAAGACCAGAGCTTCGGGTTTGAACGGGCACGGAAATCGAGGCAAGATCGTGAGAGAAAGAGAGAAAATGAACAAATTTTTCGGAAAGGCTCGCATCCCTTTTATAGGGGTGCTGAACCGCCTCCGAACGCGGGGCGTACGGGCGTACGCAGCGCGTACCCGTACGTCATCGCTTACGTATTTCGGATGGAGCGGGTCGGATGGGACGGCGGGTCGGTAGCTTCGCATAGGGCGACGTGGACGATCCGAGGCCGTGCCTCGAGTACGCGGGGCGTACGAGGGTACGCGGCGCGTACCTCGGCCCTAGGCTGACTCCTCTTCGGATAATACCGAATTTTTAATAAAAATTATATATAAATTATTTATCAAACTTCAAAAATTCATATCTCCTTCATACGAACTCCGTTTTCGACGTTCTTTATATCCCCGCGAAGGTGAGACTACGATCTACAACTTTCGTTTAGATTCCGTTGGCAAATTCCGAAATTATTTTTATTATTTATTTATTAAAATGACGTGATTAAGGAATCTCTTTAAAAATTCATAACTTCTTTATCTGACGTCGGTTTTTGCCAGACTTTTTACCGTTGAAATACCATTGTCGAGACCTTCGATTCTCGTTTAGGTCATTCCGGCCAAATGTCGCTCGATCTCCGTTTCGAGTTTTTAGCTGTCTGTTGCTAAGCTGAACTTGGAAAAATCATAACTTCAATATACGAAGTCGGATTTGGGCGTTCTTTTTACGTACGATCATGGTTTAATGATATTTAAACATAGAAGAATTTAAATAGAAACTTTTTGGACATTTTATTATCAAAGTTAATTTTATTAACTCAAAAATGTTTACAATACTTGACCTATTAGGCCATTACAAAGAGTTGAAATATCGGGTTGTCACATCATCCCCCCGTTAGAGGGAATTTCGTCCCGAAATTCAAAGTAAGAGAACACTCGTGGATTAGGGAAACAGATGTGGGTACTTGTGTTGCATCTGATCTTCGCGTTCCCATGTGAATTCAGGTCCCCGCTTAGCGTTCCAGCGAACCTTCACGATGGGTATGCGACTTTGTTTTGTTTGCTTGACCTCTCGGTCCATGATTTCTACTGGTTCTTCCACAAAATTGAGGCTCTCGTTGATCTCGATCTCGTCGAGTGGGATTACGAGAGTCTCGTCGGATAGACACTTTTTCAAGTTAGATACGTGGAATGTAGAATGTACGTTACGAAGTGCGCCTGGTAGATCGAGTTTGTAAGCTACGGGGCCGACTCTTGCAAGAATTTCGAAAGGCCCTATGTACCTCGGATTAAGCTTCCCACGCTTGCCGAAGCGTATCAAGCCCTTCCAGGGTGAGACTTTGAGAAGGACTCGGTCTCCCACCTGAAATTCCAAAGGTTTCCTTCGTTTATCTGCGTAGCTCTTCTGTCGGTCTCTAGAGGCTTTCAATCGTTCACGGATCTGAACGATCTTCTCTGTCGTTTCCCGGATGATTTCCGGACCGGTAAGAGTAATGTCGGAAGCTTGCCCCCTTGCTAGTTGGGTATCACCCACCTCAGCCCAGCACAGAGGGGATCTGCACTTTCGGCCGTAGAGGGCTTCAAATGGAGCAGCCTTGATGCTCGTGTGATAACTGTTATTATAGGAAAACTCGACAAGGGGTAAATGAGTATCCCATGCCTTCCCAAAGTCAATCACGCAGGCTCGCAACATATCTTCCAGTGTTTGGATGGTCCTCTCACTCTGTCCGTCGGTCTGAGGATGGTAGGCTGTGCTCATGTCTAGCCTTGTTCCTAGGGAATGTTGTAGTGATTGCCAAAATCTTGAGGTAAACCTACTATCTCTATCGGAGATAATGGACATAGGTACACCATGTAGCCGTACGATTTCCCTAATGTATGTTCTCGTAAGTTTCTCCATCTTGTCGGTTTCTTTGATAGGTAGGAAGTGTGCAGACTTGGTCAATCTATCGACGATGACCCATATGGTATCAAGTCCACCCGTTGTCTTGGGCAACTTGGTTATGAAATCCATAGTGATCCGCTCCCACTTCCATTCTGGGATCTCTGGTTGTTGCAATAAACCAGAGGGCTTCTGGTACTCGACCTTAACCTTTGCGCAAGTAAGGCATTTACTCACGAAGGTAGCAATCTCTGCTTTCATATTAGGCCACCAGTATAGCTTTTTAAGATCCAGATACATCTTATCTGAACCTGGGTGGACGGAATACCGAGTGTTGTGCGCCTCGGTCATGACCAAGTCTCGGAAACCACCGTGTTTCGGTGTCCAGATCCGATCCATGAAATATAAGGCTCCGTCACCCTTGGCTTCTAAATTCTTGTCCATTCCTCTGAGGGATTCACTCGTCACATTTTCAGGTTTCATGGCTTCAAGTTGGGCCGTCTGAATTTGATTAGACAAGTGTGAATGGATGGTTATTGACAATGACTTGATTTTCGACCAGAATATTCCTTCCGACTTAGGGCGTCTGCTACTACGTTGGCTTTACCCGGATGATAACGAATATCGCATTCGTAATCACTGAGTAGCTCGACCCACCGTCGTTGTCTCATGTTGAGCTCCTTTTGATCGAAAATGTGTTGTAAACTCTTGTGGTCGGTAAAGATAGTGCTCTTCGTTCCATACAAGTAATGTCTCCAGATCTTCAGAGCAAACACCACT